ATTCACCTTTCATATGGCAATTGTTGCTCCCTGGTCTTGTTGTAGCTTCATTCTTCGTGTCGCTCATGTCCAGCCTTATGCTCTCATCTTGAGCGAATGCTAGTGTCGATAATTCTTGTTTATCTATCCACCTTAGGCACGAGGTGATGCTCAAGAAATACACGTGTACTCACTTTTTGGAGCACTTCTATGAATGTTGCTTGCCTCTCTTATGTTCACTCCTCTTAGAGCACTTCCACGCGATGGCTTAAGGAATACACGTGTACTCACTTCTTGGAGCACTTTGATGGGCGTCGGTTGCCTCTCTCGTGCTCACTCCTCTCAGAGCCTCCACTGTGCCAGCCTCCTTCACCAATCGTCTAAATCAGAATCCTCCTTGACTCAGTGCGTAAGGTGCCATGTTTCTGGACAACGCCAATTGGATTAACCCTAGAGCTTATCGATTCTTGAGGTTCCACTGCATTTCTGGACAACGTCAACTAGATGAACCCTAGAACCTACTGATCCTTGAACTTCCACTGCGTTTCTGAACAACTTCTACTGGATCAACCATAGAGCCTGCTGATCCTTGAGCTTTCACTGCGCTTCTGGACAATGTCAACTGGATCAACCCTGCAACCTGCTGATCCTTGAACTTCCATTACGTTTCTGGACAGCGTAAACTGGATCAACGCTAGAGCTTGTTGAACCTTGAACTTCCACTGCGTTTCTGAATAGTGTCAATTGGATCAACCTTGGAGCCTATCAATCCTTGAGCTTTCATTGCAGATCAATGCTAGAGCTTATCGATCCTTGAGCTTCTACTACATTTCTGGACAACATCAACTGGATCAACGCTAGAGCCTACCGATCCTTGATCTTCCATTGTGTTTATGAACATAATCAATTGGATCAACCCTAGAGCCTCCCGATCCATGTGCTTTTATTGCTTCGTAGTCATGGAATCCAACCTCACCCCAGACAAGGGTTCGTGAAGATCTTTCTGGTATAGATAATTTTCAATATGCATCTTTCCAAATTTGATTCAACTTGTTGATCCATCAAGCTTCTCTTCAGCAGTTGCCATACGAGAATGAACCTTCTCTTTCTTTATTTCCCACAAAAGCGAAAAATACTGATCCACTCTTTCTCCAAATTTTTTGGTCAAAAAATTTCATCTATTAAACTAAGCTAGAATTGAGCTTATTTGAAAATCGATGGGGTCCTTCGTCTGCAGTGATAGCTGCCCTTGATCTGCCCTCATATCCGTCGCCATCAACTTCTCTTTGATTATTGTATGCACTTCATAACTGCCCATTTTTTCTACTATATGCTTTGTCATCTTTGTTAGCATCTCCTCGCCGCTATCCTCCTCCACCACCTTAATTTCCTCATCTGGGTCGTCTTCATTGTCAGCTCGTGCGGGATTCTAGCAATTGGGTCGTCACCATTCACGACTTCAGGCAAGATTTCAGCGTTCGAGTCAACTCCGTTCGTCAACGACGGTGTGTCAGGTTTTTCGTGACTAGGGCAGTTGACATATTCTACTAGAGACCTCTTCTTTTTCTTTTCTCATCTTCACAGATCGTGGTGAATTCTTCCTAGCTTTGATACTATTTGTTAGGATCGTACAACTCACTCACTCGATCTAGATGAAGACATGAAAAACAAAAAAGAGAAGATGCAAGTACAGATATACATAAAGGCACTGAGATGTAAAACTCCAGGGTGGCTAGGATTTATCTATTGATGACTTCAAGTAGTTACAGATAAGATAGCCCTTTTAAAAACTAAATCGGATTCTATCTTATAAACTAAATAGGAGAATGGATAAGATTCTATCTTAGAAACTACTAAGGTATTAGGTTCCACAGCCTATCATAATAGTTGTGTTCCTCATCTGGATGTGATGGGAATTGATTTTTCCATTATCAAAATGGAACCTAATAATAAACTTCACCTTCTTATGCATTTTAAGCTTCAATAGTGTTTTAAGGTCTACAAATCAGATAACCTTTAGTATTAAGGTGGTAGAATATGGATTTACGAGAAAGTCTGTGAGCTTGTGTGCATATCCTGAGGCCAGGGGAAAGGGTAGAACAACAATGTTGATTTAGTTTTGCTGTTATACGGAGCTAATGTTCAGAGTAAGGTCCTTTTGATGAACTGAAAAACTCATCATTCCTCATTTTCTTCCCTCTCTCCTCTCCCTCGCTCTATTTTTTTTTTCAATTTTTCCTTCACACATGTCTACTAACTACTATACTTGTCTTCCGTCTGAATTTCACAAATTAGTTGTGTAGTTAATGCTGTATTTGAATTACTTCTCAGACTATCTCAAATTTATTTTATGGTGTATTGTATTAGGACATTGAGTTGTCTAAAGAGATCAACGAATCTTTCAAGCAATCATCCCAAGCGAGGACAAAGCTTCCCATGGGAATTGAGATGAGTGTTCATGTCTTGACTACTGGGTAAGTTGTAATTAATGTGATTATCTACTGATTAACTCTCATTGATTGCTTTGGTTTTGACAGAAATGTTAACAATCTATTGGTTGTCTGTAGGTACTGGCCAACTTATCCTCCCATGGATGTTAGGCTTCCCCATGAGTTGAATGTCTACCAGGTTGAAAGCAAGATAATAGTATGCATCTTAATTTACATGTAACTCGGAGTAGTCCTTTGATTCCTTTGCTTTGTTTTATAGGACATTTTCAAGGAGTTTTATTTGAGCAAGTACAGTGGGAGACGCCTAATGTGGCATAATTCATTAGGCCACTGTGTGTTGAAAGCCGAGTTCCCAAAAGGTAAAAAGGAGTTGGCAGTTTCCCTATTTCAGGTGAGTTAATTCGTAGGCATTATAGCTGTTTTAAGGGATTCTTTGGGGCATTGTCTTTTATCCTCTTGTCTATCTCTTGAATGAAATGGGGTTGGAAAGCATTTTATTTTATTACCATATGGAGAGATTTAATCTGCGCATTGTGATCCAGACCGTGGTCTTAATGCTTTTCAACGATGCTGAAAAACTAAGCCTGCAAGATATTAGAGAATCTACTGGAATTGAGGATAAAGAACTCAGAAGAACTTTACAGTCACTTGCCTGTGGAAAAGTTCGAGTACTACAAAAGGTGGATAGCACCTTCATTTGATGTCTTTATTTGTTGAAGATATAAAATTATTTTAATACTCTCAAGAGTTCTGAATCTGAGTTCTCTCTCCCCCCATCTTATACTTAGATGCCAAAAGGCAGAGATGTTGAGGACAATGATTCATTTATGTTCAATGAAGGATTTACTGCTCCACTCTACCGTCTTAAGGTATGCCAATTTTCATTTTATCTACCTGGAACGATCGTGTTACTTCAACCCGCCTGCTGTAGCTGAAAATTCATTGTATTGTTGTGGGCGATGCAGGTAAATGCAATTCAGATGAAGGAAACGGTAGAAGAGAATACCAGCACTACTGAAAGAGTCTTTCAGGACCGTCAATATCAGGTTAGCCATTATTCTCTTTAATTTTCCCCCTTTCTTTACAGGGAGACTGTCAGTTCATCATATAATTTGAACTCAAATATAAACTAACTGGATCATACAGTTAGATATAGTTGCTTGTTCAGTGGTGTAATGTAAGTGAAGAATAGGCTGGAAAGGCTTGTTATTATTTCTGACCAAACAGCAGAATGAACAGTAGATTACCAAATTCATGGACCCTTAAACTTGTTTTGCGTGGTACCTGCAGGTCGATGCTGCTATTGTTCGAATAATGAAAACCCGAAAAGTGCTAAGTCACACCCTTCTGATAACTGAACTCTTCCAACAGGTAAAAGGCATTTTTTTTCTTTAATTTCCATGCATTCATCTTCTCGTGTTGAATCGGTATAATAGTATACTGTTCTTATCTTTTCGTTTCCCATGCATTCTTTTACTCCACAGTCAAATTTGTTGTAATATTACCTATTATATTTACCCTGATACGAAAGCAGGCTTTTCTGCCTACAAATGAAAGTAAAATTTGATTCTGGGTAAAATTTGAATGGAGCATATGCAAGAAAGTGACTAGTTGTAATATATTTGACTGTTGACGATGTTGAAGTGGATTATTGTGGTGTGTTGATGAACAGTTAAAGTTTCCAATAAAGCCAGCTGATTTGAAGAAGCGGATTGAAAGTCTTATCGATAGAGAGTACCTAGAACGTGACAAGAACAACCCTCAGATATACAATTACCTTGCCTAAAACAGTCTTTTCTCCTCGCTAACAACACGAAAATTTCGGCCATTGGAAGGAGGGGAGGAGGGATCGATCCCTTTGTCAGATTAATGTACAGAAAGAATTTTAGTTCGATATTTTTGGCTGCGTTGGACGTTGATTGTAAAGCATAATTTTGTATCTCTTTCAGTGTCTGTCGTCTCTGGTAAAAGTTCTGTACCTGATGAAATCATCTTCTCAAGCTTACAACACAAAAAGTTATATTAAAGCAAAGATCCCAATTTTAGTTTCATCAAAATTCTTTGGGAAGAAGAGTCTATGCCTTGATTTGAACTCATTGGATGAGAGTTTCAATTTTGTGTTTAGTAAGGGTGCAACCAAACTGCCCAAGCTTCTCGAAGCTTTCGGGGTTCGGTTCAGGCAGTAGTTACCTATGGTTTGATTGCTGGAAAACTAAGGTGAATTGGTCGGGCTCGGTTTCGTACATACCTAACTGTCATTGTTTCCTCTTTGTATATTGCATCTTCTCGGTTTAACGTTAGGTAATATGTGATACATTATTTTGATACTTTGATATTACCCTTTCATCTCAATATATCAAAACAGGCATATATTTCAAATATATTATATTGGTATATAAGTTATATGTTTTATTTAGCGCCCCTTAATTCATATCATACATACGATACTTTTTCGAGTGTTAATAAACTAAGAACAATCTTTTGATCTATTTGTTAACAACGAATTTAAATTATCGTTTTGAGAGTCCTCCTTCCAACATTTTAATGTCTTATTTTTCTTATTGCTCAAGGATTGCCTATAATTACAGACACAAACAAAGCTAAACAAAACTTTTCGACGTCATATTATTCTAAATTAAAGCTAGGTGGCCCTTTTCATGAGACATTAATTCAGCTGATTTAGTTTCAAGTCTCATTTGTGTGTTAAATCTTTGAATAAACTCTTCCACCCTTCTGTTCAGTTCTTCATCTGTCATCTTTGAATACTCATTTTCTTCTAATTCCTTCTCTTCATACTTGCCACTTTCTGATCTCTTCGCCATCTTTTTCTTGCTCTCCTTTGACACACTTCTTTTGGGTTTCTCCGACTTGCTCCGCCGGTAAGTTCTCACCGGAGTCGTCTTCAACGGCGGCAGAGAATCGCATCGTTCTGGAACAAAATTTTGCAAATTCCCATCTGGGTATTCTCTCTTTTCATCAAATACTACAAATGAAGAAGTTTGATGTTGAAAATGAGTCATCTTTGGGTTGGGAGGTGAGTAATGTTCATAAAGATGGGATCTTTTGTATTGGGATAGTGAGAAATAGGCATAATCAGCAGCAATGATGAAGATGAGGGCATTGGAAATGAAGAACCAGAACATTGTGCTGTTGAAGAGAGATGAAAAAGAGAGGTTTTTGAAGATGATGCAAAAGGAGAGAAGCAATAATAGGGAGGAGAAGAAGGCTAATATGTAATCATTTGTATATTTATTACAAGTGTTTGGTTTGGGTTTGGGTTTGTAGGGCATAAATGGATTATCAACTGATACAAGATTTGAATGAGATGACATTTGGATTGCAGAAGAAAAAGAAGAAAAACAATGGAGTTTTTGAGTTGAGAGATTGAATGGTTGGGGTTTGAGAGACAAAGATTTCAAGAGGGTTTTTCCTTTTATAGCCACTTGGATGTGAGTTTCAAAGGATTATGCATGATTACTTCTTGTCTAGGGATGTTGTGAGATATGTGGCTAATTATTGAATTACCTCAAATTACTATTTTACCCTTTTTTTTTTTTTTATATTTTATTCCCGTGCATATCTAGTCGTTCATAGTTTTAAAATTATTCGAGGAAGTTAGCTATGTGACACCAAACAAAAGATGATACATGAATGAACAGATCTTGAAGATACAAAATATGTACTTTCCTTTTTAGTGGCTCAATCACGTAAACTCCAAAGTTCAACATGTTTTGGTTAGTATCCATGTGAGTGAAATCAAAACATGTTAAAAGAACTAATGTTGGTCTATGAAGATCATTTTCACTCTTAGAAGTGAGATGTAAATGTGATAATATTACAGGAGAATGTCGAAGTCATTAGATGCTGAATTTTATATAATAAAAAAATATTGTAATTATTGAAATAAATAGATTTTATACGTATAACGAGCATTATAATTATAATGAAGCGTTATTATTAAATCTTTTAAAAATGAGTTTTATAGAAGGGTAAGAGATGTCAACTTGTGATATTTTATTATTTACTCTCACTAATGTTTATCAATATTAATATATATAAAGGATGAGTAATTTTATTTTTTATGGAAACTCAAGAAATAATGCCAACTCTATCACAAAATGACAAGCAAATGGGAATAGTCTTAAATTATGCTTTTGGTTGTATATTAATTTATTTATTATATTTTTAAATATATTCGAATTTCTAATTTTAAGATCGTATAAGTAATTAATGGGAAGTGCGAAAAAACATAAAAAAAAGAGAGTATATTTACCTTTGTCGTTTTTAAATATTGTCATGAAAAATAAGTTTATAATATAAAATATTATTTAATTTCTTGACTATTATCGAACTTTTTTTTTTTACGATATTTTGTGTCATACCTCAAAGTATAATGATCTTATCTTTCGTATATTTTTTTCCTCTTTATGAAATTTGTTTCTTATTATTCATTTTGTTTTATTTTTTATATTCAAGATGTAAAAAATGGATAAGAAAAAATAAAAATAAATTATTATTATTATTATTATTATGATTATTGTAAAAAACACAAAAAAAGAAAAAAAAAAAGGAAATTTAAACCGTAGCAAACAAGTCAAAATTTCCAAATAATAGTTTTAATTGATAATGTATATTGTGGCTGGTGTTCTCTCTCTCTCTACCAGCTCAAGTTTTTAGGGTTATTTCAATATATTATTACTTTTCCACGTGGACGATTCAGGTTAAATGGAGCATCATGATTGGCTAATCAGTCAATTTGATGTCTGCCACGTGTTGAACATTGTGGATAAACACAACATTTGTTTTCTAAGGTAATTTTTGTGTTTGTGGAATATTTTATGTTTAATTCATCTCAATTTTTAAAATTTTCAATAATTTATTTATTTATTATTATTATTTTTTAATTTTGATGTACAACGTAAGGGGGTGGAAGCTTACGATAGGATGGAATGAGAAAAAAATTGTCACGTCTACCTTCTTCCATAGTTAGAATATCAAATTCTAAACCGACGTGGCACTACAAGATTCCTTAACCTCTCCGAGAAAAAAAAATCATTTACCCTTTGTCTAATCAACTCTTGAAGGACCGAACAAGAGAGAAATATTTGTTGGATCTCAGTTTTCTAAGAGGAAATCAAACCATGCTTCTTCGGTGTCAGTAGAAAATGAATCGAAATATTTGCATGCGTGAGAGATCCCAACTCCTTGCATTTAGTAAATCGTGTCCCACAGCTTCCACCCAAACAACTTCATTCTAGTCGAAGTCCCCGCTGTAGTATGCATCAATAAGACCACGAACCTATTAACTAAGTTCTTTCATAAATATATATTTATTTTATTTTATTTTATACAAATATTTCTATTTATAAATACTTTAGTGTCAACTTAAATTTCAAATATTATATTAAACTTGGTGAAACATTGAAATTTGAAACAGTAAAGATGGCAACTTCTGATTGGTTGATTGAGATACAAGGTTAATTTAATCATAGGTTGACTAATGAGTTAATTAAAGGTAGGATTTTTGAAGTTTACAAGTGGAACACTCCAAAATATATTTTCATCTACATTTTTTTCATGTTTTTTTAAACTATGTTCTATTTTTAGTTTGTATGGTCAAATATCTTGACCAATCGGGATTATCCAATCCAAAACATAAAAGTTGGTTGGATTTTTTTTTTTCGGTTCTAGTTGAGTTAAATTTTTGAAAAATTAAAAGTTCGGTTCACAAGTTAAGATTTTTTTGGTCCGATGATTCGACCAACTTGAAAGTAGGGTTGCAACTCAACCCTACTTTCTAAATGATTAAGAATATTTTACGTTTGTAACTAATGGTAATGATATGGTTGTGACTTGTAAATATTTGATATTTGAAGTATAGATAGCATGTAACATGCATTATTGATAGTATGTTTTTTTTTTAGATAATTATAAAAGAAATAGTAACAAACCCAACAACCCAATCTAACGCAATTCAGAAGTACAAGGTTGGATTATGAACAATATTAGGGTTACTCGAACCACTAACCCAACCAACTCAAAATTTAGGATGGATCTAAAAGATTTTTCCAATTAACCTAGCTCAACGTGTGATATGTGGAAATCAACCCAAGGAGAGTAAGATTCAGATTACCTTGTTGATCGAATATCTCAAGGCAAGATCATTGTTTGAGATTTGAATCACTCTACAAGCAAGATCGATTATGTCTAGCTTGAATGATTCTTGTTGATCAAATATCTCAAGGCAAGAACACTTAATTGAGATTCAAATCATTCCACAAGCAAGATTGATCATGTCGAGCTTGAATGATTCTACATGCAACCTAAACTACATAGAATTGCAAAAAAACTTAATTGGCTAAAGAAAAGCACAAATGCTTCTTTTACTATATTTTCCAAGTCTACTTACAAATAAAACATACATGGCTTTATATAGCCTCAAAATGAAACTACGAAAGACATTCGAAGAGTTGTAACATTCATAGTTAATGGCCATAATTAACCATTATGTAATGGTAACCTAAAGTAAATTAAAAGTCTTAAAATACAACAACTCTAAATTACTCTAAATTGTAATCCACCCAAAATTTATAAGAATCAAACTTCATTCCTCTTCAATGTGGCGTGAATGACAACATCTTCAGTGAAGTAATATTATATGATTGATGTATCTGGGTTCATATCACTGTATCCCTACATGAAAGTATACATCAAATGACATTAACTGCTCATGTCCTATTACATATAATCGTCAACCTCACGTTTTTTAAATTTGTCTGCATCTGTTACGGAGAGGTGTCCGACTTTTTATAAATAATGTTTCGTTCTGCTCTACCATCGAGATGAGATCCAACCGTTTTGTTTTAGATTTAATTTCTTACTCTGTCTCTTAGATGATATCTTTAACTATTGTTCTCTATAGGTGTGTGCTTTTTGTTCCGTATAGGAAGAGGAGGAGGAGGAGGAGGAGGCCTGCTGTGTGCTGCTGTTGCTGCTGCCTAAGCATCATTGTTCTGTCTGCTTCACACAGGTACTGAAACGAAGCCCAAGTCCCATCATTTTACACACTTCTCCATTAACCCAACAACTAATATCTATAAATGAACCTCCTTTTGCACTTATATTTCCTCTATTAGCAACTCTTTTCTCTTCCCTCCCTTTCACTTCCACTTCCACTTCCCTACACTACTGACACAGCTACCTCTTCCTTTCCCCCACAAATACCCTCTAAACCCATCTCCCCTGTTCTCCCCTCCCATGGCTTCCTTCACTCTTCTCCTCCTTGCATTTCTCCTTTCCACCAACTCCTTTGCGGCTGAGGAAATGGAAGAGGAAGAGCTTCTGGCTCTGTTTGAAGTCATGGGTTCTCTCTTAGACTACCCTGATTGGCCCCAGGCTCACCCTTTTCCATGCACAGACACGCCATGGCCTGGGGTTAAGTGTGAGATTTGTCAAGCCCCTCCTTTCTTTCATGTCACACAGATTCACATTGGCCCTGATATTCTAGACCCACCTTGCAAAATCTCTGCTAATTTATCCCACGCCTTGCTCAACCTACCTTACTTGAAGTCCCTCTCAATCTTCAGCTGTTTTACAGCTTCCCCAGCTGCTCTGTTTCCTGCTCTGTTTGAGTCATTGTCTTATTTGGAGCATTTGGCTCTTCAATCCAACCCAGCTCTTTCTGGGGTGATTCCATCGAGTTTGGGCAATGCAGGAAGTTTGAGAGTTCTGAGCCTCTCTCAGAACAGTCTAAATGGGGAGATTCCACAAGCCATTGGTGGATTGGTTCATTTACAACAGCTTGATCTTAGCTACAACAATCTTAGTGGCGAAGTTCCTCAAGCCATTGGTGGGTTGAAAAGCTTGAGCATTTTGGATCTCAGCTGGAATGCACTCAAGGGTCAACTACCTTCTTCTTTAGGAAAGTTGCAGCTCCTCCAGAAGCTTGATTTGGGATCAAATAAGCTTCAGGGAAAGATACCCCAAAAGTTAGGCATGTTGAAGAAGTTGGTATTACTTGATTTGAGCCACAACTTCATAAATGGGCCAATCCCTGAATCATTTGGAGGGTTAGAGCACTTGGAGTACTTGATATTAGACCACAATCCCTTGAACGCTGCGGTGCCATTGTTCTTAGGCAGCCTTGAGAAGCTCACATCAGTAAGCCTATCAGAATGTGGAATTGAAGGTCCAATACCCACTTCACTCACTTCATTGAAAACCCTCACAGCTCTGTCTTTAGCCAACAACAATCTAAGTGGGCCAATTCCACCAGAATTGGGGGAGCTACCAAACTTGGATCTGTTGAACTTAAGCCACAATCAACTAAGTGGAGAGCTTTCTTTCCCAAATAAGTTCATGAACAAACTAGG